GTGCCCCAATTATTTGAAGGCGACCATTTCGGGCGGCTCAGATCCCCCTTGGACCTCTTGCCATCTGGACCTCCTTGGCTGCTGGCCCCGTAGCCTCCCCGTAACACCCCGTGGTTAAAATCTTCCGAAGCTTAGATCAGGTCTGATCTTCCCTCCTCCTGATGGACGCGTGCTGCCAAGTCACATGCAACGTGTTGGGGCAGGTATTTGTTGGATTTTGTACGGACCTTGCCTCCGTTCGTACGTCAATGTCATATGTCCATCGCTGGATGGAAGATGACACTCTCACTGACTTGTTCCTAAACACCATATCCTCTTTTTTTTCGATGACAACGTGTAGGCAATAGCTGCACTGCGACGCTCTGCAAGCCATGCGATGCACTCTTCCGCCGTATAGATGACCACGACGCTGAGGAGCCCCAGAATAGGGAAACTGAGCCGCTTCTGTCTTCTGGCAGTCGCCCAGTCACGTCCCAACCTTCTGAGAATGACATGAAAACAACCTCCTGACGGGAAGGGCGACTATTTCTTGCAGTATGGAGCGGTAGCCGTCGCTAGTCTGCATGTCCCAGGATATCCCTATACATGAACTGAGATGACCTCTAATAATAAATGTGAATGTTAAACGCGCACTATGTACTATTTAGGCAGCCTTTTGGCAGGCCCCAGGGTCCCTAGATGGACTGATGTCCTGCACAGTATCAAGCCCCTAGTCTCCACTATTCTGTGCGGAAATGCCGAACGCCACAACAATTGCCAGTTCGAAATATGACCTTATCCAAGAGTATATCCGAGTTGCCTAAGTGAGCGTAACCCGAAGGGTGCGAATATTCGGTAGCTTTGTACTGCCCCCATGTGGCATCCCCAGAGAAGTGATATTGCCGTCGACGAGACAGTACGGCTCGGATGGACGAGGGCGTCGGACTCGATGTCATCCGGATCTTGATGAATGCCTGCGCTTGGTGGATCCACAGTTCTTTGTTCCAGGATCGAACAAGATGACGACCCTTGAGCCCATACGGCTCTAACCGGCTACCCTAGCCGGACCCGGAGCGAAGTTCGATCCAGTGGAGATGTTCGGCCCTTGAGGAGAATTGCGGGACTGCTCGAAGATCAAGGTTGTTCTGGAGAATGATCTGAGGTATGTGTCAACGCTGAGAAGCGAGAAGCAGACTCGTGGTTGTTGGCACCCATCTATCCATTTGGGCGA